TGTTAAAGAATCATAATTATGGAATTCCCTTTATTATCTTTGCATTGCGTATAGAACAGAAATGTACGACATCGCGGTTTTCAGGATCTGAAACATACAAAAATATTGCTATCGAAAGTTTTCCAACATTAATAGAATCATATTTGCTTACAATGCTTTGAAATTTCATTAATACATTAGTATGATATAATATAAATATTATATGTATTCTTAAATATTAGAGTACAAGTATATATTTCAAAAAAACAACAAAATGTAATTATATACAAATATTTCGTAGTACTTTATGCTAACCTTTATTCTTTACTGAGTTTATTTATATTTCTTATCTTATTCTTAACGTGGCTATTCATGCTATATACTAATTTTGTACTAAACGTATGTTAACAACAAATGTTTTGTAACTTCTTTCACGTTGATTTCAATATATTTAGGGCATTTATATTTCATTCACTCATAATATTAGAGGAATTTCCATATGTTTTACATATTGTTTTACATATGATATGTTCGAAAAAATTCTTTTTTTATAATACGTTCATGAACTACAGTATACCATTATGGATATTTTATATACTGAATGTTTTGGTAAAACTGAACGATTTTCATATAGACGTAATTCTTCTATAAAATTTGATAATACATTATTCATTCAAATCACTTAAATTAGATGGACTGTAATTCATGACCGAATCTTCACGGATCGCGATCTTCGTAGGATTAGAAGGATGATTTCACTGAAAATTGTATTCATATCGTACAATTCGTTTTTACTTACCTGAGTATATAACAGCACAGTAAACCAGCAAAATTTGCCTGCTGTAATTTTTAGCGGCATTGCTGTGGCTCGACACATAATAATTATAAGTAGTCTTGCGTCTTTTGGAGGTAAACTGTACCATTCGCAATTGTACGCTGCGTCAGCTATATCCGTACTCTGAAAAGTTGCAAAATTTATTATATATGTTCAAATTATCGATATGTCTAAATTGTCTTGTATCTAAATATCTAACGTTCAAATTTTTATCAGAAAAACAGAGGCTAATATTTCTATCACAAGTAATACCTCCAACGTAAGTCTTTCGCCTACGTAACAATACAGGTATAATTGCACCATCACACAA